GGAACAAAACCACAAAATAGAGGTAGAAAAAAAACATTAGAAATGATATAACACGGATGCCACACATCCACATGCACAAGATGGGCAAGGCAAGGATCCTGAGAACCCTCAGCAGGCCCTTGAAACCAGCTCATCCCGACCAACCATACACGCTGATATCTGTGAACTAAGCAACTACACCAAAGATAGCAATGCACAACAGCAAGGTCATGCCCGGAATGTCCGTCACCCTGGCCCTCCAAACACGCACTGCCTGTCATGATGTACCAACCACTGTCGTACTCTCTCTCAAGTAAATGTTTGTTTCAAAGAAAAAAGCATAATAAATGAAAACAAGAGACAAGAAAAAAAATGTCACAGGACTGTCCTGCTACAATGCTGTGTATGGTTAAATTTTTAAATTTCTGTGTAAAAATATGTAATTATTTATTCCTTTTTTAAAATATTTTTTTATTTTTTAATTTTTTTTCTTCATATTCTATAGAGACTTAAAGTTTAACATATTAATACTTGATGGAAAATACCTGTTCCATGTTATGTCTAAGATATTTGATACCCAGGCAGACAGGCCAAGCTCAACTGCCTATGTCGTAGGGAAACAATAATAAGCCTCTCCTCTGGAGGGCCAACAACCCAAGCCCACAGACCAAAAACCAGAGAAAAAGGGCTGCAAGGATCACCAACACACTGGCCCCAGTCCCCCAAGGTCAGTGAAGACTCCGGACATAGGAGAACCTGCACTGCAACATCCTGCAACTCAGTGGTGTCCCAAATTCTCCAATCAAGGAGATCATGGGACCACAGAGGAAAGTGACTGCCAATGCAGAGTGTGCCCAAGGAGAGTCACAAGGAGAGAAAACACTCTCTCAGGCCTTCACAGAGAGCAAATTCGTCAAGCAATGGCTGTGACTCATCCACATGGCTGACACTGACAAAAGATCTACAAATTGTGGCACAGGGATTCAGGGTAAATCCTGAGGGGACTTGACCTACCCTGTCAAATACAAAAGCTGCATTTCTTGTTATACAGGTCTTACTTTATTTTGGTCTCAACCATCCAGCAGAAAAGTATAACAAAGAGGTAGAAAAAGTAAAGCCATATTAACATGCTGAGCTGTAAAAGGTTCAAGTCAACAACTTCTGACATTGCCAGTCCTACAGATAACCCACCACTATTATGTACTACTGGACCATACTGGAACACCTTGCCGAATTCATGCACCCACGATATTCAAATGACAACAGAACACCCCTCTCTGACAAAACCAAATAAAAAAGGGGGATATAAATGAAGGACTATCATGTATCTGCACATTCAAAATAGGTCAGATAGGGGAACTACCCGCTCGGGCCCGCCTCCTGTCCCTCTCTTGGACAGGAGTTTTCTTTCTCTCAATAAATATATTCTGTTCATAACCTCCGTTTGTTCCTAAAATTCAATCTTCGGTTTTAGAGAACACGAACTCGTGCAGGTCAGGTCCAGAGATTGTTTTTCTCTATGCCATTTGGAGGTTCTTTGTATGGTTTGGAGGTCACACACCTAAGACCAGTTTTTCTCCCTGTATCATTTTGGAGTTTCCCACCGAAATCATTGGACAGAGGCTGCAGGCCCAGCACAGAACCCTTCAGCAGAACTCCCTGCAAAGAGGCTAGAGGCAAGACCCACCCAGCTGATTCAGGAGCAGAACATCTTGC